CCTATACAGAATTTTATTGTTGTTAACAACCATTTGATCAATAAATATGAGAGATGCCCTCTCAAAAAAAAAAAAAGAAAACCTCCAATTTGCATGTTTATCATATTCAACTCAATGACATGAAATGAGACACTGGATTCCCAAGGTACATCAAGAGAACAAACTCAAATATACTTAGCAGAGGCTGGCTGGGCACAGATGTAGTGAAATAAAGCAGATATGTTCGTTAGATGATGTGTGATTAGATGAATGCCTATCAAACACTAAGGAATTTTAGTATTCTACAATAAACACTGCCTCCCTCAGCTTTCAGGGGGAGTTCTTAATCTTTCATTTTCCCACTTTTGAAAGAGGCGGAGGTATGGGACTTTTAACTTTTTTCTTCACAATGTGGAAACACTAATAGAGAGTGGTAAGAACTCTGGCAAACCGGGGAGCTCCCGCCCCATTTAATGGCACAGCTGCTCCTCACTCCACAGTTTTTCTTCGTGGACTGCAGGAATTTGTGTGGCCAAATTCCAAGTCTTTGTTTTTAGGTAAAAACTTTCCATTTTTAAATACTGGCACCTAATTAAGTAGCAACAAAAATTTGTTTGGGCCAAATAACATTGGGGGTTGAATTCATTTTTTAAGCCAGGTATTTATAACCTCCTATGTAAACTAAGGGAAAACAGGGGACCTAAAATTGGTATTTTTATGCCACACTGCTGAAAGAAGCTCCTCCTCAGACAGAACATCTTATCAGAGAATGGAAGGTAGTAAAGGAAGTGAAATTAGCAACAGGAATAAAAGTTGAAATCATGTTTCAAAAATAACTGAAATGGCAATAAAACTAAAAAGCCATAATCTTTAAGGAAAAAAATATTGTCAGCTCTACCTTATAGAACAGGAAATTAAGGGTACAAAATAAGTTACAGAGAAAAGACTAGACCAGGTAGTTTTGCTACATCAATATCTACATTCACATAGTGAGTGTTAAGTGTCAGCTATGGGCCAGAGGACAGACAACTTCAGTGTTTTCTTCATGGTGCTTTAACATTCTTCAGAAGCTAGTTTCAGATTGATGTACAAGAGTAGGGGTAACTTATTTTTTGGCATTTTCTCCCCTAGGGATCATTTATAGACAAAGTATTTCCACTGTGTTCTTACAGAGAAAGACATTTTATTTATAATTTGGCTTTGGAAATAAATCCACTGATGTTAAGACTCTTCCTGAAAACATCTGGCCAAAAATCTATCAATAGTTTTTTACTGAATGTATTTTCTCAAAAATTGTTATTTTCATTTAAAAACAATCAATTAAGAAAGCCTACATAATATTTATAAGGGAAATTCCAGACCATACAAACAGAACAAAATTAAGTTGCCTACATACTTCTATTCATGGGAAAACTGATGAAAATCCCCCAAATCTGCATAATTTGGCATCACATCCAGACTGTTTGAATGCTCTCTGCTAAATTCTCAAAAGCAATATGCCCCAGCACAAAGGCACCTTTGTTCGCTCATCTAGCTAATCAGTTTCCAGCAACTGGGAAGAAATATTTTGGCAGAAAGCCAGGGTGCAGGGTGTTAGTTTAAAGTGTAAAGGTGAATGTCCACTGGGAATGGGAGGTGACTTTCTACCTGAGAATGTATATCAAAGCCCTAAACTCAGAAGGAGATGGAAAGTTTGGAAACTTGGTTCATGGCAACCTTCCCCTTGTATAAATGCAGGCTTATGCAATAGTACACGACACAGGCTTTTACAGCAACACCTCACTTATCCGCCGCTGACAATCTCAGCTAACTGGAACCAAGAAGGATCCACCTGCAATGCCTCTGAATAGTCAAACTGGATGTCTCGCTTCCTTCCACACAAAAGGCTGTGATTTACTTACAGAAGAGCCCTGCAGGCCCTCCCTCTGAACCTCTTACTCTTTAAACATTAATTCCGAAAAGCCTGGTTATCTCACTCCTGGGCTCACAGAAGAGTTATAAGTCACAGATTCAGAGTGGGAGTAAGGGTCCACGAGTGAGTGGCAGGCACAGAGAGGAGAAATAAAAGCCTATAATAAATACAAAGCAAATCTGGGGGTGGGAGGTGGGGGAAGCTTTACATAAACCCCATCAGCATCCCTGTACAGTAACAAAACAGTAACAGTTCAGGTAGAGTCATCAGGGAAGTTTAAGATTATGACCCATTTGAAGTTCAGTAGGTAGACAGGGAAGAATGAAATTATTTTAAAAATTGTTCTGATCCACAGGTTGAAACCCCTTTCCATCAAGAGTGGTAGAGTAAATATTTTAGGTATTGCGGGTCACACAGTCTCTGTTGCATAAGCAGCCACAGGCAATACATAAAGAAATGAGCACACTGTGTTCCAAGAAAACTTTATTTATGAAAACAGCCAGCAAGTCTCGTTTGCCAACCCTTGTTCTAATCCAAAATGGTTAAATAAAATACACCTGGCAACTTTAAAAGGATTAAAATAAACATCACTTAAAATTATGAAGATACTTTCATTTCCTAATGTAAGAGAAATTAACGACCAAATATTTAAGAAGCACCTCTATGTGACCAGGCTTTGTACTCTGTGCTGCAGATTCACTGAAGAAAACAGGTAAGGTACTACTTTCATGATGCTTATAGTCTACAAGAAGAGATGGCAACTGACAAATAATCACACGATTACATTATTACAAAGTTGCCGAGAGCTGGGAATAAATGCACTGTCAGGGTATGTACACGGGAACACGGCCTGATTTGCAGAGTAAGAAAGGCTTCTCCAGAGAAGTGAGGCTTATGCTAAGACTGGAAAAATAGCCAGAAGCTAATCAGGTAGAAGGGAGGGAAGAACATTCCAGGCGCAGGATACAACACACACAGAGAAGAGCAGATGGGAGGACGAAGGAGTCCGCACAGTGAGAGGGCAGGGCCGGAAGAGGAGCCAAGAGGAGGGGTCAGGAGCCCAGGAGCAGCAGCCAGGGGCCCTGCAGACAAACAGTGCCTCCCGCGAAGTGTTAAGGATTATGGACTTTAGCCTTAGGACAAAGGGAAGAAAACAAGGATTTTGGTTTTTCTATAAAGTCCACTCTGACTGCCAGCTGGAACATGGACCTTAGGGGTAAGACAGGAGGCTACTGCCATAATTTAGGATGGTCCATGGTCTTGAGCAGAAGCCGTGGAGATGGGGAAATAAATCTGAAAAAGAACTACAATGGTTTTAACAGGCTTGGTAACTGATTGAAAAATAGGTGACATGTCAAAGGTGACACCCAATTTTCTGTCATGAGCAACTCTTGTCATATGCTGCAATGTTACTCCACAATTTCTTTTTTTTTTTATTTCTGGAGTCACAGATTTCTTAAGCTATTTTTCACAGTTTACTACTAAAATGTATATCCCTTAGACCATTTCTAAATTAAGCCTTTATTCACTAAAACATAACTTTAAAATACATCTAGAAAATATCGTCCACTGCACAGTAAAGTGCTAAGAGATGATTTAGGTGCCTGCCCAGTTTACAGGTGTCTGGGCCACAAGGCCGTCGTCTTCTACATGAGATGATGCTTAAAGCAAGGCCCTCCTAGGGTTCCCAACAAACTCCTTTGTATAAACCCAAGATGTACATGTATTTATCTGATGTCATATAAACATAGATGGAGATATAGGAAGAAGCTGTGGTGTAGACATTCTGATCAAATATGCTGAGGAGTCTCTGCATATCAATGGACCTTGGCCATGGCTGATAATCATGTCTGGCAAGGAAGCTTTTAAAAAATACACATGTCCCTGGCTGTTTTCCAAAGCAACAGGAATGGCCTGAGTGTTTTTTAAGGTACAACCTTTAAATATTTTCTAAAATTGTTTACTGCACAATAACCTAAACAACAAGAGAAGGAAAACTCTACTCTGTACTTTCTCTTCTCCCTCCCCTAAATAAATGATACTCTGAACCCCAATAGGGGATGAGGTTGGCAAAGACTCAAGGATCCTCTTTGTGAAAATAACTTTTAAGGTATCAGGTTTTTTGTTTTGTTTTTGCTTCCATGATAACAGCCCTAGAAATACAGAGTATGAGGATCTTTTCTAACACTAAATTATTAAAAGACATAAAACTTTTCAAGATAAACAACACTATCTTCAAGTTCAGACTATAAAGTAGTTCATGCTTTCAACTGTGAGTTTCCACTTCATTGAAACATTATTTAGTAGTGTATCAGATTTTAAAAGATCACATGGTTTTGGAATTTTAAATGTTTTTGAAATTTTTTTTCCTAAATTACTTGGTACCATATCAAGTGCAACTGCCACACTATTGATTCCTAAATTGAAACCAACAAGCCAAGAAAACAGAAAATGCATTGTAATTAATCAGGAAAATATAAGTATACTTAATATCATGCTTTATATTAATTTCCTGAATTTAGATCCATTAAAGTTGACATAAAATCAACTTTTTACTTAAGCATCTGTTGAGCTTTCTTTAAAAGAAAAAGGTACCACCACGAATCACAGTGCACTATGTACGTCTGTAAAACAGACAATAAAACAAGCTAACTGGTGCTGAGTAGGGTGATTCAGAGTCTTCAGAGGCCCACCTGGTAAAGGCGGGAAGGAGGAGGCTTCAGCTAGGGGCTCAGAAGAGACTCCTCTGAGGAAGTTACTGACGCTAAGACCTGAAGGATGAGGAGGAAAAGCTCTTTAACAGAAGAAAAGGGAAGCGCAAAAGCAGAGAGACAGCAACAAGCTTACAAGTCTGAGGGACAGAAGGCAAGCCCACGTGGCCGGCTGCCGTAAGGGCGTGGAAGGATGGAGGACCATGCAGCGGTGAGGACGCATCAGGATTTTATTCTGGATGCAATGAGAAACTACTGGAAGGTTTAAAGTGGGAATGAACTGACCAACTTACTTTCATGTTTTGCTTAAGTCATATCATATTTTATTTATATTTTAAAAACAAAGATTTCCTGTTGAATGGACTATGTATTTCTAAATCATATTCTAAGACTATCAACATATTCTAAGGCTATCAACTGTATTGGATGTTTACCTCTAAGAACCAGAAAACTTTTGCTCAGTTATAAGCGTATTTGAAAAGGAAGCAGCAGAGGATAACCACCCTAGAACTAATCCCATGGTCATGTATGTTACAACTCCACGAACAAGAACTACAACCCGCTCCCTGCTCTCTCCTAGACTGCTGCTCACTCCGGTTCACCCTCAACAGCCAAGGTAATCTTCCTAAATTAATACTAACTGTATCACACCCCTGTTACATATCTACAAAATCCATCTTAGGGGTTCTTTAGGAAAATGAACCTGTGTATTTGGAAGTATTTTGCAAACAGTCAAGAGATACAGACGTAAATTACCCTTGGAGACTTATTTTGTTGGTGGACTTTAGTTCCTCCAAACTCAGAAAAGCAGATACATAATCAGTGGAATTTCAAAGCCCTGGGAGTGGTTAAATGTTTATCAACTGATTGGAAAAATAAAGTTTCACCTTCAAGGGTAATCCCTACCATTCTCTCAAACTGCTCTCTGGGTTGGTTTACAAACAGGCTAAGGCTTTAACTGTCCCCACTGGCAAAACACTGGGCTTCCTGCTCTCACACCGGCTTTCCAAACCACTCTGATAACCAAAGACAAAGGAATAAATGGCACACACCATGCCTATCTGCAGAGAGACAGACACACAGACACACACACCGAGGAGGACGCAAAGTTAAAAAAAAAAAAACAACTCAAATACATTTGAAAAGGCTTGAGCAGTTATTTCAAGTGTTTTCAAGACTGTTATCAATATTTACACATCCCCAAAATAAAAACTCGCTATCTTTTCCAGATAATTAACTAATTTTATTTTTCTGAGAAATATCCTAAAACAGAAAGGAAAGAAATATCCTAAAACAGAAAGGCTGCCTCCTACATACCAGGGCATGCACTTAGCTCATTCCATCTTTCTAGTAATCCTATGAGATACAAAAAGTCTGCTTTACATTAGTACCTGTTTTCACCAACTGAAAGAAATCTAAAGAGGATTTTCAATTTTACAAGATGGTAACTGCTTCTTCACGTTACGCCATTTGGACTTACGCGAGCTTTCCCAGGAATGCTCGACTTCCAGATAGCGGGGGAAACCTATAACACGTTCACTCAATAGATGAAGACACGAGATCTGGAATGGTAAACATCTTCCCTTCAGGTTATCGATTAAGTAATAAAGGCAGCATGTGAAAGTTGCTTGCCACTTGCCACCAAAAACCAGAATGTTTCTTTGAGTCCAAAGTCATACTCTTTCTACCACATCTTTCTGAAGGGATAAAAATTCCATTCAATGAAGTGAAGAGTCAATTCCTAATTTCTAGTAAAAAAAAAAAAAATCTAAGGTCATAAATTAAAAACAAATCTTCTAAAGTACACTTACTGAAGTGTAAAGATATTAATTAAACCAACAATATCACGAATATTTTAACACACTTATTAGCTGATACGGTTAAGAAGATTCCCACAAAATGTCTATTCATTGAGTTTGTGGTAAAGTCTGTGTATCCTATCAATGAAGAAAATAAACCACTTGTATTTCTGAAATAATTTTTCTAAAAGTGGTACTTACCCTTTTTTTGTATAAAAATCCTAAGCAGTGGATTGGCTGTTGAAACAGCTTTGTGGTAATTATCATCGTTGTTTATGGGCAATAAATCTCCATGGATGTCTGCGTAGCCTACTAAAACATCAACGTTGGGTATCTTATGAACATGTTGCAGTAATCCATAAAATTCTTCAAATTTTCCAGGTTTTGATCTTTCCAGTGAAAACCGGCGAAACTCAGCTCCAAACTATAAATATAATGAACATACTAATTAAAAAAAACAAAAGGCAAAAGTAACAGGACTCAATTAAAAAAATTAACAGGCATACCGTTTCCCTTAATAAAGAAGAATGTTCCAGCGACACAGCCCTTGGTCAGAAACCTCACTGTCTGCAAATAAAACAACATAACAACATAACAAAGGCACAGGAATGTGCCTTCTCACTGCTGCATCTCTGAACGCCTTCCAAGATGCAGGCTCAACTCAGTCCCTGTATCCAGGCCTCACTGGGGACTGTCCTGCATTGTGACGCAGCTCAAACCCTGTCTGGAGCCCAGATCCTAAGAGCAGTACTCTTCTCACTCAAGCCATAGGATAACAAAGATGTGCCCAAGTCTTTGTTTTGACCATTAGCAAAAAGCATCTAAGTTTCCTTCCCAACAAAAGGAATTAGGATTTCATAGAAGTGCCAAGAATTAACCGCAACATATACAAAAAGGACTTTGAGCTTCTTGGCACTAAGATACAATACAGAAAGAGGTATATCATATAAGAAATAGTCTAGAGATAAGAAGCATTTTCCCTGTGTTAGTGCTGAAAAAAAAGCTTTATTAATACATGAAATATATATCCTACAACTACCCTATTAACGCAGAAGTGTTTATGTGCTTGGCATAGTGCTATGCCCTAGAGATTGAAAGGTTCAGGCCGACACCAGGAGCTTACCAATTAGTAGGTAAAGAGAATAATTACATCAGAGAGGTATTAAGGGATCACACAAACAAGGAGGAAATACCTCCACCGCACGGTATTTATCTTTACAACGCTGATTCTCAGGTTTACTTCCCTCCTCTAGAATCACACCTCTGCTTTCCAAATGCCAGATTATTAAATTGGCTCTTATTCAATGCTAAGGACTAGCTTCATCTAGTCCATAATAAACAGGATCTATGACTTCCTATGGAACTAGCATGGCATGTCCTTAAATGTGGAATGCTAAGAAATCAGCCTTTCTCAAAAGTGTTCCAGTCACAGAAGTTTGGGAAATGCTATGTAACTACAATCACACTCATAGGAATCACAATGGAGATCAGATTATTAAAGGATCAGTCAAGTCTTATGGTTGATTTAAAAAAACAAATTTTTAAAACAAATGTTTGCCAAATGCATTTGACCACTAAACTCATTTTTCCTCTAAGTATCTATTATTAGCAAGAAATACTAATGCATTAAGACAGCCTTAAGCAGTATGCAGAGAAAGTGTCTATCAGAATAATTTGAGATTGCAAATATGTCAATTCATTTTTCCAAGGACCCTACGGATTCACGGCTTTTGCTGTACCCAAGAAGTTAATTAATCTGCCTTTGTTTTCCCACACTATTCTAGTTTTAAATTAAAGTAAAAACTCACTAAGATCACCTCTTACGTCTATTAAATAATTAAAAGTTTCCAGAACACATTCCTGAAACATAAACACTAACATTTGTCAAGAATATAAGGTGACTCATACCTAAAGCTCTCAAAAAGTTTAGTCACACCTTCACGTTTCAAAGTAAATAAAAACTCAGGACCGCCCTTCCTATCAGTCAGTCTTATGATGTTATCAAGTCATAGTTTCTCCTCCATTTTCTTTATTCTGGTATCATAACATAAAGTTTCTAGTACTTTCTGATTCATGCCAGGGCTTATCATTTCACATAATAGATGAATGAGAGTAATATCGAAGAATTGAACATTTTAGGGCTTCAATGTCTTTGCTAAAACTTTCAGATGAAAATCCTTCGCTCAACATCTTTCCTTTTTGCTTAAATTACGATAAAAACAATGGAAAACTGTATGGCTTCACATATGTGCCCTGTTTGCAAATGTTAGCAGAAAAAAATACAAGAGAAATTGTTATGCTTCTTGCAGCAAAACAATAGGATTAAGAGAACTTTTGACTACATGAAGAAAAATGCTAAGATACAGATAAAATTAAGACCCAATCAACTATTCACTACATCAATCATATACAACTATTTTTAGCCTGGTCTCATTTATCCAGGACACCCAGAATGTGCTGGACACCCTTCTCCCAGAAACTGTTGGTACATTCTGGAAATGCAAACTTAATTTTAACATTGTTTGTCCATGAATAATTAAGAAACCTACAGTTCCAAGACTATTCCAAGGTTATTAAAGGACATCACTTTGATTACTGATTAAGAACTTTCCCAACTCTGCAAAGACAATAAAACTGAGTTTTCTATGCAGAAGAAAGATTCTGAAATGTTGGTCTGCACATGACCTAGCTGTGGTTACATCCCCCCCCTACCTGAGGAGCTTTGTAAAAAGCTGTGATACCACCAAAGCAGTGAAAAAGGAAATACTGTTTCCAACTATTTGTCCACATATTTTTTCAATGGTATAGCTGACATGTGTTTTATTTAATCCATTAAGAACAAATGTATCAATAATATATACTTAAAACCCAAAGTGTAACAGACACACTAGTAACAGTACCTATATTGTGCCTATTTATCAATAGCTAGAACAGAAGTGGAACCCTTCATTCTGTGCAGGTTCCTCAGAATGTCTTGATTCAATTTAAGAGACATGGCTCACTAAAAGTGCAGTATGGCAGGTCAAATATATAACATGTAGTTTACACCTAAGTATGGGAAAGATTCACAAATCAGCTGGCAGAGGATGGGCAGAAAGCCTGAAATTCCAGTCCCCAAGTGCTTAAGGTTCCTAGTCCAAGAGTTAAATTACCACTTGATGTTATTTATCACTGCACCAAGAATCCCTGCTCATTTTTTCCTATGATAAATAATTAAAGATTTGCTACCAAGATTAGGACCACAAACCGAATTTTAACATTATGCAATATCATAAGTGTTTTTCTTTTCTTAACCTCAACTCCCACAAATGCAAACTAGATTTATAGCAGAAATGCCATGAGAAGGTTCAACCATTGGGCATAGAACCACTACCGCCACTATGCTGCTAGAGGAAAAAGCTCTATGTATTTTGAGTCATTTAACCCTTAGTTCAAAGTCTGTCACTTGAATTTGCTATGGCAGTTCCCTGGAGGGCACAGGGAAGAGCATACTCCTTAAACTGATATTACAATTAATTCTTGTTAAACAGAACAGTTTCTGAAACTCGTGAATGTCCTGTTATATAAGTTGCAAATAACATTTTAAAATGATGTTAAAAATGAATGCAGACTATTCTTGATGTGATGATCTCAGTTACAGCAACTCACAGAACTTCGCTTATCAACTCCAGATAATAAAAATCATTCTATCCACAGGCTGCAGGAGCTTTTCCTTACTCCACTCAAAAACGACTCCCTGGTTTTGCATTCTTCTTAAGAGGTCTTACAGTCAATGAGGTTTTGAAGTCGATATGCTTTTAGTTTTCTCCCATTCTTTTATGTGTTTGGGTCTTCCTAACAGTATTTTAAATTTTCTCAGGGCGTGGCCCAAGCCTCTCTTTTGTATCTATAAAGCATTTTATATTCTTATTCTGTGAAAAGACTTTAAGGTTTTGTCATAAAAGCACAACTTGGCGAAGTCATAACCCTTCAAGCCTCCCCCGTCTTCTCCGAGAATCAAAATAAATATCTAAACTCCCTCTGGCTTTTCAATTCATGAACTGTTTGCTGAAAATGTTCCTGTGGCTGCCGATCACCTTCAAATTCCAGCTCATAACGCGTTTTGGAAAGCATTTCCTAACCCATCCCTACAGACTACCCTGCTCAGCCAGCCTTGCGATTCAGGGATTCAGTAGACAGCAACCTAATCATCAGCATTGGCATACCGTTGGTCAAGAGTTAAAACACTCATGTGAAAAGGTAGCATAATGGAATGAAATGAGCATCCAGACTCAAACTGCGAAGTGCTCCTCAAAGGTGCTGAGAGTGTGCACTGAAAGGTGGTAGTGCTAATTTTACAAATTAAATGCATACCAAAATTAGTGCTGGAAAAACCCACAGCAGGAAGCAAAGCTCACTTTAAAAGGGCTCTTTAGTTTACTGGACTCTCTCCTCCACCACTCGATGCACCCTTAAATCACAGAAAGGGGAACATTTTGTGTCCACGGATGTTCCAAATACCTTTTTCTCACAGGCCAGTAGGCAGAATTTCCTCGAACCTTTCGTGCCACGCTGCGCTCAAACGCCCCCCATCTTCGGGTATGCCTTAGCCCTTACTCCCTCCCTTAAATAGGAATGAGATTTAAGGAGCGAGAGATTAAATGCTCCGTTGGTTTTCTTCCTACCTGGGCCAAGAGCAGACACAAAGCCCCCAACCTCGTTTCCTGCTCAGCAAGTGTATTATCCACCATCTCCAGCCTCCAAATCCCACCACCGCGCCTCCCACCGTCCCACACTCAGCGGCAGCTCCTCGGGCCGTCCCTGGCCAGCCCCTGCCCTCCCCAGGCCCGGGGTCCCGGCCCCCGTCAGGCCGGCCGATCCACCCAGCCCAGGCCCCGCGCACCTTGCTTTTCACCTCCATGGTGCCCAGGCAGCCGCTGCCCGCCCCGTGCCGGTGGCTGCGGTTCATACTGAGGCCGGACCCCGCGGCGGCCTCCGCAGACCCCGCCGCCCGTCGGGAGCGCAGGGAGCGAGCGCGCGGCCGGCGGGCTCGGGACGCGGTTGCGGCCCGGGCGCCTCCTAATAGGCACCTGCAGAGAGACGGCCGCGGCTCGGGTCTCTGCACAGAGCTCCGTTCGGCGGGCTCCTCACACGGCGGGACCGAGAGTCGGACTGGCGGCGCGGCGGGCGGGGACGCCGCTCCCTCCCTCCGGGTCTCGGCGGCAGGAGCGACGGCAGAGGAGGAGGGGGCGGAGCAGAAGATACAGGCGCCGCAGTCTTGCGCTCCACCACCTCCCCGGCGAGCTCGCGCGCACGCGCGCACCCGACTCGGGCCGGAGCCTCGGCGCGTGCACGCGCCCACCTGCAGTCTCCGTAGGAGCCTCGGTTGCCCGCGCTCCGCCCACACCCAATGAGAAGCGCGCACCTGCGCCCGAGGCGCCAACCAATCAATACACGCTTGGTGAAGCTCGTGGGCGGGCCACCTTCTCGAAAATCCCACCCATCTCCGCGCGATTGGTCTGGTGCTGAGAGGGAGGGGCGGGATCACCTGAAGCTCTGGGTCGCCTCTCCCGACCCAGCAGGAGAGTTGGAAGGCGCATGCGCAGTCTCTGGAGTTTCCGCCCCGGGAAGGCCGGCCGGAAGTGCGAGCGCACCTGAAAACAAGCTGGGAAAAGGCGGGCAGGAGGGGTACTTTTGCGCACGCGCAAGCGCGCCCCTGGTTGCCAGGGTCCCGGGCGGGTGCTCGCATCCCGCGGGCCGCAGCAACCCGCAGCGGAGGGTAGTGGAGACGCCTTGGGGCTCCTTGGTTTCCGGCCGCCTCCTTCCCGCTTCTACTTTGGGATGCTGCAGCCTGCAAGAATGGCCCTCCACCACCTGTCGTTTAAGCGTCCGGCTGCGACTCTTGTTTACAAAATGAAAGTTTTCTCCTCTCTGCAACAGTTACTGGGGGAGAAACTAAGGGCCCTCCAGGCTTGGTTTTGTCCCTAGATATTCTCTGCAATCCATCCATCAGGTCCCAGGAGGTCTAGTGGGCGCTGAGGGAGGGAAAGCCAGGTGAAGCCCGTGAAGCCCAGGACAGCTCCTCCCAGGTGCAGCTTTCCTGAGTACTTGTAGACCGCCCCTCCAGGGCTTTTTCTTTTCTTTGATTATTTTCTTTTACTTTTTTTTTAAAGGTATCATTGATATACACTCTTATGGTTTCACATGAAAAACGTGGTTACTACTTTCACCCATATTATCCATTCCCCCCATACCTCATTGCAGTCACTGAACATCAGTGTGTAGTAAGATGCCACAGAGTCACTACTTGTCTTCTCTGTGCTACAAAGTCTTCCCGGTGACCCGCCCACACCATGTGTACCAATCATAATACCCCTCAATCCCCTTCTCCCTTCCTCCCCAGTCACCCTCCCCCGCCCCTCCCCTTTGGTAACCGCTAGTCCCTCCTTGGAGTCCGTGAATCTGCTGCTGTTTTGTTCCTTCAGTTTTACCTCGTTTGCTTGTTTTCTATTTATGTATTTTTAACCTCCGAAGTTTTCCTCTCTCTTCTTCCAGCCATTTCTGGTCATTTGCTGCTTGCACAAATGACAGTCCCTGGATTATGTTCGATTCTCCCAGTGCAGTGACAAGAGATGTGTCTTTGAAAACAAAAGACTGAATCCTTTCCTCTAAATGCCCCAGAGAGGAGTTTCTCCTCCCAGGGAGCCTGTGCAGCACTGGCCCTGCCAGGGAGGTGAGGAGGAGACCCACGAATGCCCTCCAACCACCTGGGGAAGGGCTCACCGTGGGACTGCTGGTCCTCAAAGAACGGTTGAGTCCTGTGAGTCTGCCGGGGCCTGCAGGGCCCTACTTCTAACCTGAGGTGGCAGAGAGCTGATTAGGACGCCTCACTCCGCCTGAGTTCCTCGGGGTCTTCCTCCCCTCATCTGCCTAACTCAAATCCTTCCCCACACTTCTAACAAGTTAGGGTTTTCCCATGTTTCTAAAGAAGTGTGGTTTTATGCTAACTTTGCCCTCCTGGGTTCAAAGGAGAGAAGCCCATGTCCTTCTAAGGTATTCAGTTCAGATATTTGTGGGGGAATTCAAGGTTTCTCAAGCCACTTTGGGTGGAAGTCCAGATGGAAAGGCTACCGTCTCCGCCTGAGTAATAATAAGGCTTCCTTTCACCTCTCCAGAAACACCTCCTATGAGACCCAAGCTGAGCCGGAGGTAAAATGCACTGTGACAGCCCAGCTCCGTTGTTTGGTCTCAAGACCCCTTAACACTGTTTAAAATTATGGAGGGCGCCCAAGCATTTTGTTTATGTGTGTTATGTCTTTCAATATTCATCACATTAGGATTAAAACTGATAAGTGTTTAAAATACAAGATTATGCAAGCATACATTTCAGTAAATCATCAGGATGATGATATCACGTGTCATGTCTCTTCCGGAAAACTCTATGGTATACCTGTGAGACAATGAGCATGACAAGAGCAAGTGACATCTTAATATTGTGAAAATAGTTTTGGTTTTGAGAATCCCCTACAAAGGTCTCAGGATGCCCAGGGACCGCCTTTGAGAACCACTGAGTAGAAAAATGGCACAGCCTTCAGGGACCTTTATTCTCAGCTCTCACCCTCTTCTCCCAATTACCAGGGCCCCGGGCTCTATGTATGTGACTATTTTGTAGTTAAGCTTTATCGCTATTATCCGCTACTGATTTATCAGGCCCTTTGGAAAAGGAAGTTCATGGGTGCCAGCACACCTGCGTGGGCCCTGCATTCCTGGACGTATGGTCACATCCTCTCTCCCCTCCCCTGGGTGTGGCTCCCTCTTTACTTGGACTTTCTTTCCAGAAGGGAGGGCCAGGCCAGAGCTTCCTGGACCTCCTAAGCGGAATTTGCTCTGAGGCTTGCTTCACAAGTGTGCCTGGACTGTGTAAGGAAGGAATGTGGAAAATAGTTTGAATTTGATAAAGGTGCTGTGGAGGAGGGGAACTCTCATTCCAAGAGCTGTTGCAGCCACGGCTTGTTTGCCAGGCCTGAACATCAGCCTTACTTGAGAAGCTTGAAGCCTGGAGAAACAGCACAGAGAAGGGTTTATATTTCCATTTCTTTGGTTTGAAGACTCAACTTAATCTTATTTTCCCCCATCATCCCTCCCCCATTCTCCACTCCCAAATCCTCCAGCTAAAGCGGATCAAGGCCTATATGTGGAATGAAAAGCTCGTACCATGCCAGGGGTAAGTGATGCTCAGTGAGTTAGGGAGAGAAGTCCAGTGTGGGATGTGGGCTCTACATTACAGGTCCACCAAATCATTAGTTGGGAAGGGGCAACCCCTGATTATCACACTCACAGACCATCAGCTATCTCCAGCCCATCTCCCCTCAAAGAAGGTAGCAAGGGGTACATTTTGGCTTTATCCTTTTTTTCCAGTACTTTCTGTTTGTAAGTTCTCCAACTTAACACAATTGTTGTGTTTGTTTGGAATCTACCTGGTGAGGCGGAGTTTGCAATTTTCCAACATTAGTTTTATTGATTCTCATCTTGCACAATGATACTTTTTTCTCTTATGTTCTCCCACAACTCTCTTAGAAAAAGAAAGTTAGAAAGAAGTGGCAAAAAGTCACATATAATGGTGTTGAAATTTTTTTCAAGAAGTTTCTCTCACCAGCTCCTTTTCTCCTTGATTGCTCCGGTTCTAGTTTTAATGGAGAAACTCTTTGAGAAAGAGTTGAAATGTGTATTTATGAATCTCAGACTACTCACCGAAGCATTTTAAGCCTTTTAGCAGAGGTGGAATTAAGTCACATGACTTGTTTTTCTGGTTAATATAACACTTTAGTACTTGTGTGGGGTGTCAGGTGGGTGTGCTCATAGCTGGAAACTAATGAGTTATCTCCTATAGCCTGTAAAAAGCTAGATGCCTTTTAGGTAAAAACACATCTTCATGGGAGGCAGTATGTGCCAGGCACTGCACATAAGTCCTGCCCTTGAAGAGATTGCTTTCTGGCCTTTCCATTTCTAGGACTCAATTTCTCCATCTGTAAATGCCAACATTCTCTGAGACCATCTCCACAATCCCTTCCAGCTCCTAACATTCTATGGTATAATGGAGATTGATCTTTATTTCAACATTACCAGGGATGAAATACAATGAAAAGGATGATCTTTCCATTAGGGTCAACAGACAGGTTCAGTCATCGGCTAAAATATTCCAGTTCCCAGGAGATGTTGATGAAGATGATGATAACTTACATTTATGAGGATCTTGTCTGGCTCCAAGAACTGTGCTAAATGCTTCCACATGGATTATCTTATTTACTTTTAAGTAGCATGAAAGAGCTTTACATTTCGAGGCACTCAAATCGTAATTTTTTGTAAGTGGTAGATGTTACTCTGAGACCTTGGTCTCCTCCTGCTGGCTGGGTGACCTTGATCCTGTTCCTTTAACCACTCAGAGCCTCAGAGTCTTCCTGTTAAAGGCGACGGACGGCAGTGCCCTCCTCACCACATTGTTCTGGGGATCAGATGAGAAATTGTACATGGAATTGCTCTGTAAGCCACCAAGTGCTGTGCAAAATATTAGTGGTTATTATTTAGCAAATAATATTGCCTACCAAAAGCTTTGGTGGAATTTCAAGAAATTCCTTGAAATAAAACAGAAACGTGTAATAAATCATTCTTGTTTTCACATGGGTTGGCCTTTAAATGGGTATCTCTTACTCAGAGAGGCCGAGAGACAGCCTCGAGTGGTTCTTGATACCATGACTCCCAGATGCCTACCTTCAAATCCTGCCTTTGACGTTTCCTAGCTCTGTGACCTTGGGCGAGTTCTTAACTTCTCTGAGCCTCTATTTCTTCGAGTAAAAGATAAAAAGAATTACTTGTCTTCATTCATGCACAAAACACTTAGACCCACACTTAGGATAGGACCCAGCACAGAGTAAAGACTCCATAAATGGTACCTATTATTGTCATTATTGCTGTCTAATTATTTTTATTACCTACTGCCACAATAGAATTCATTAAAGTAAAAGTATTTATTAAGCCTCAGCTGTGCGAAATCCCTGTCCTCCTGGAGCCGATATGCCAGGGGTGAAAGACCAAACACGCAAATGAATTAACATACATAGTGTGCTGGTGACAAGAGCCTCACTGAAAAAGAAAGCAGGGGTGGGCCAAGGTGCGGAAGGAGAAGGAAAGTTTAACTGAGGGTGGCTGGGGTTGCCAGCTGAGGGCAGGGGGGGGAAGCCTGCCTTCCAGGCCGGGGCTTATCCTGGGTGTAAGGATTAAAGGCGATAAGCCTCAGTCCGTGCCTGGCACACACCAAGGGC